GATGCTACCATTAACTACAACGTGTGTGACACAGCAAGATGCCAGGCCATGTGCACTAAGCCATGAGGAAGAACCAGCACTGTGCAACCCACAGAAGTGACATATTTGAGTAAATGCAGCTCATAGAGAGAGGCATCAGGATGGTGCTTGCAGTGTGGGAGGAAGAACTTGAGAAGTGGGTGTTCCCTGGCTGGACATTTCCACCCTGAGGCAGAGTCAGGGCTGGTGGTGGGCTGTAGTGCTTAAGATTGTAATTAGTTACACAGTGTGTACGAGCAGGGATTTGTGGTGGACACATCACATGTGATGGGTTCTCGCTGTGAGAAGGTGACAGGAGAGGGGCCACATTAAAATAGAGTGGGGACAGCCATTCCAGACAAACCACTCAGCACATCTTCCTTCTCCAACCTGTGCAGGGTGTGGACTCAGCACAGTCATCTTTGCAGTGGGTCCCAACACTGCATTGCACACAACTGTTTGCACAGCTAACAGAGAAGAGGTATCCTGACTACAGGACTGACAATTGCAAACAATCTTCACATTTGCACCCCCATGTGCAGCTAAAGACTAACTTAGTTTGCAGTGATAGAAGTTCCTCCCCTCTAGTCCTGCACCTGCATCTCACCCTGCCTCATGAACACCCTTTACCTTCACCCCTAGTCAGACCAGTGGGCTTCTATCTGAATATCTGCTTCCCAAATAGTGTTTCTTTTTGATCTCAGATAAACAGTGGCTGCCGATCACTTTGTGCTTTTATTTTTACAGTATCACTGCAATAATTAAAAAGAAATCCTGATTCATGAAACTACAGGGATCAGCCTTGAGGGTATCATGTTGAGGGAAGAGCAGGTACAGAGAAGCAAACACCAAATGTACCCTCTTATGCCAGGACTCACAGACAGTCCAGATGCAGCAGCAGAGGGAAGTGTGGTGGTTGTCCTGTGGTGGTGGGATGGGTATGGTGAGTGGTCTTCCCAGGGAAGAGGCATCCTGTGATGCATGGTGGTTAGGTTCCAGAGATCACTGCCCATCACTGCACCTGAGGTTATCCAGCAGCACGTGCATTTGGTTTGTGTCAAGCGTAGATCTCATGTGGAGTTCTCACCACAACCAAAAAGGGCAGGTGGAATTTCAACTCCAGTGTGAGGGCATGAAGAGCTGCAAGGGCTTCAGTCCTAGTCAGAAGGCTGGCATTGGTTTTAAAAGTTGTACCATGACTGGAGATGGTCCTATTGACACACCAACAGTGAAGAAAATTTGACTCCAGAAATGGTGCTAACAGTGGGGACAGCTAGACAACATAAACAAAGTAAGGTCCATACCCTCCCTTCCCTGTCCCACCACAGCAATGGAAACTCCCCAGCCAGACACATTAAAGAGCAACAATTCCATGTTCCAAGCTCCTGGTCAGAGATTCCATTTCCAAAGGAGAAGACATCAGTGTCTTTGTTCAGCTACAAGCTGCTGGTTTCTGAGTTTGACCTCCCGGCTGGTGCCACCAAAAGACAGGACACACTCTGTCCACTCCACCCCACTCCTGGGATGGAGGCTGTGTCCACAACACAGCACCATTAGGACCCTGGGTCCCTGACTGGCCCTCCCTAATTCCCTGGCAGGGCTCACCCATCAGGGAAGGCAGTCCATGGAGACAGAATATCAGCACCCAACTCTGAGCACTCAGTCCTTACTGGGTGAGGGAGTGAAGCTGTCTCTGTCCCCAAAGACAACTGAAGAAGCTGCCTCAGAGTTTTACTGGAAAAGGGCTGGGAATCAGCCATCAGGTAGATTTCCCCATTTATCCCCATTGTGATGATGTCATTTTCAGCAGCATGCAGAAGTGCTGCAGGACTGGGTGTAGTGAAAAGCCGTTCCAGGAGAATGGGGATCAGTAGAGTCTCTTCACTATTAGTGGGGAATGTGAGTTGGTGCAGGTACTAAAGAAGAACAATATGGATGTTCCTCAAAGAATTAAAAACAGAACTGCCTCATTACCCAGAAATGCCACCTCCAAGTAGGTATCCAAAGGGAACAATATAACTATAAAAGACTTATCTGTTGTTCCATGTTGATTTTCACATTATATACAGCAGCCAAGACATGGACAAAGAAAGCATACATATGGGCCTGGCTGGCATAGCTCAGTGGATTGAGCGTGGGCTGCAAACCAAAGTGTTGCAGGTTCAATTCCCAGTCAGGGTACATGACTGAGTTGCAGGCCATGACCCCCAGCAACCACACATTGATGTTTCTCTCTCTCTCTCTCTTTCTCCTCACTGTCTCTTTCTAAAAATAAATAAATAAAATCTTAAAAGCAAAGAAAGCATATATAATGGAATATTATTTGCCACAAAAATAGGAAAATCTGTCCCAGCCTGTGTGGCTCTGTGGATTGAGTGACGGCCTGTGAACCCAAGGGTTGCCAGTTTGATTCCAGGTCAGGGCACATGCCTGGGTTGCTGGCCAGGTCCCCAGTAATGGGCATACAAGAGGCAACCACACACTGGTGTTTCTCTCCTTCTCTTTCTCCCTTCATTACCATCTCTCTAAACATAAATAAATAAAATCATTAAAAAATGAAAATCCTACATTACTGAAATAGTAAATGGACCTTGAGGACATAATGGTAGTGAAAATAAGTGAGACACAAAAGTAAAACATACAGTGTGATTTCACTTGTATGTGGATTAAAAAAAACATTAAGAAGATCATATTTGTGATGAGCAGAAAATGGGTTGGGCAGGGAGAGGCTCGGGTGTTGATGATCTGATGGTATAAACTTCCAGCTGCAGGATAAGGAAGTCCTTGGGATTTAGTTGATGGCATGATGAGTAGATTTAAAACTGCTCTATGGTGTGTGTGGAAGTTGCTAATGAGAGTAGATCCTAACAGTTCTCAGTACAAGGAAACCCACATTTACCTTCTTCTTCCTCTATATTCTTGTATTCTATTCTCTTCCTTTTTACTTATTTGTGTCTACATGAAATGATGGGAGTTAATCATCAGATATGTAAGTGCAGTCATTACACTGTCCACCTTATCCTTATGCAGTGTGGAGTGAACATATCTGACCACTCCGTCTCTCACAGACGTGGAAGCACACAGCTGTTGGGATTCTGAGAGGGGTGTGTTTCTCTGGGCTTTGTGTCTCCAAGGCTCACACATGTGCTTGCATCTGTCCACGTTCTCCTCTTTTTAGGTGGATGACATTTTGTGGAGTGGATGGAACAGGTGTTGCTTATTGAGTATCCTATTTCATCTTTCTTTTTCATAAGAGTTCAGTTGCTGTAAACTGATGTTTTTGATGTTTTTCTGATCAGAAAAAGGCACAGGAAAGGCAGACAACAAACTTGTATGAATGGGGTTAACACATGATCACAGGGAATGGACAGGAAGCACCTGTGACCAGAGGCTGTGCTGTTAGGACAAATGATAATGATTTCCATAGTGTGCTGGTGGTCACCTGTCATGGTCTCCCATCCATCCTGGAAGCAGCAGGATACAGAGAAATGGGAGGTGGAGACACAGCCTGTGTGATGGGGGCTGGGCTGATGCAGCCCTGAGTCAGACAAGGACCAGGTCCACCTTCAGGTCACACCTGCCTCAGCCTGGACTTCCTGGGATGGGGGCACACACCCCGCCTCTGCACTGTGACTCTGAGGAAATAACAGATCCTGAGAGAATGAAGTTCAGGGGAATTCAAGGAGCAAGGGCAGTGTGAGGGTCACAGAGGAGTCTCAAGGTCAGTTTCAGTCCAAGACGGCTGGCCTGAGACACAGGAGGAGCCCATGTACCATGGGAGCTGGAGTCAGAGCAAAGCTCTTGTGGATGCTCCAGTCCCAAGGCCATCAGACAGGAGGGTCACATTCATCCCCTGAAACCTTTGACAATTGGGCAGGGCCCCCACATTAGGGAGGGCAATCTGCCCCACCCAGTCCACTAGTTTCAAACACAATCATGGAATCCCCCAAATAATGTTTAAACAAATATGAGGACACTACCAGTTAAGTAAACCCTTAAATTAACTGTTAAATGACCCAGGTATCCCACACTCTCAGTAGACTCAGACCACCTTCCCCACACATCATCCTCACTAGTGTCTTGATCATCTTCCACTAGGAGATTCATCTGCTGAATGAGGACTCAGGGGAAATGGCTGGTGAAGATCATGGGGAGACCTTATTGTGTTAGTTAATGACAAAGACCACAGCAAAACTCCACATAGTCCCTGGGTTCACACTTTACATCTCATGGAGCAAATGTGAACTGCACTCTTATGAGAATGGATCCAGTGCAGGACGTCTAACTCAGGACTCTGGGACCCTCCAGAAGCTGCATCCATGGGAGGAGGTGGCTCCTTTGGTGAAGTGAGAAAAATCACAGACAGTGGAAAATGACACTCAAGATGTCTCACCCAGACCCCTGTCTAATCCCTGGTCTGTTCTTGCCTGCTTGCTCATAGTCCCGGATGCTGCACACCCCAGTGCCTGACGACCTCCCTTTCCCTTATTATTGCTGTTGCTGGGTGGACTCAGGAGTCTGACCTCAGGTTTTGAGGCTGGATGTCTGGGAGCTTTCAAGTCTCAACTTCCCCATCAACATCTGCCCTCATATGGACGTGGTGAATTAAAAAAGCCTGAATGATTGCACCTTTGTTCCTGGTAGGAGAGTCAATCCACTCAAGTCCCTGTCAACATGAGATCCCTCACCCTCTGACCACAAAAGCACTGAGGCAAGCTCTTGGTCTGCCTCCTTGAAGCCACTTCACCCCTGCTGGAGAGACCTGCCTGGCACTTCTGAGACCTCAGTCAAGTCAGAACAGAACTTCATTGGATCCTTCAGTGTGTGGGCATCATCAGACTCCACATCTGAAGCCAATTTGGGAGGAACCACCCTTGGTTTACACAGGGACTACAGCCAACCATGCTGTGTGCACAGTGCTGGGACAATGAGCACCCCCATCACCAGGCCTTTCTTCTCTGTCAGTACTGACCACTGCTCTGCTAGCTGGTGGCAGGTGAGCCCTGGGAGCTGCCATTTGCTGCTGAGTTGTCTGGTCTGTTGGTGTCCTGATCCAGACTCTGGAGAAGATGCAGAAGCAGATGTCAGATGAAGGGGAAAGCCAGACTATAGAGTAACCCAGGGCTTAGCCTCCACCTTCCCCTTCTCCTTTCATGGATGCTTTGATATCTGGGTCCTGAGTGCCCCCTTGTGTCCTGAGTGCCCCCTGCAGCACAGCCCTGCTGCCACCTACAAGGAAGTTTGTGTATGGGTTCACCCTGACTTCCCCTCACTGTGTCTCTTGCACAGTAATACACAGCTGTGTCCTCGGTGGTCACAGAGCTCAGTTTCAGGGAGAACTGGTTCCTGGACGTGTCAGCAGTGATGGAGATTCGGCCCTGGAAAGTTGGGTTGTAACTTGTACCTCCTGACCAGTACCCCATCCACTCCAGCCCCTTCCCTGGTGATTGGCGGATCCAGCTCCAGTAGTCACTGCTGGAGACTGAGCCACCAGACACGGTGCAGGTGAGGGAGAGGGTCTGTGAGGGTTTCACCAGTCCTGGGCCCGACTCCTGCAGCTGCAACTGGGAAAGGACACCTGGGGACAAGGGACATCAGTTCCTGTCAATCATGTACAGTCACCACCATCCCAGAGACCTGTGTCTGACATGTGAGACACTCACCCTGGGGGGCTGTCACCAGGCACAGGAGGAGACCCAGCAGCCGCATCTTCTCTAGAGCACAGCTCTGTCTTCCCCAGAGACCTCAGCCCCGTGTGAGGAGAGAGTGATGAGCCCCAAAGCCCAGGGGAGCTTTTACCCTGGAGCTGGAGAGAAATTTGCATGTGGGGGACTCTGTTCTTATAAGTGGGGAGGCACTGAGTCAGGTTCCCCTCTGGGCATCTCTTCTCCTGACCACATGCCCTGTGTGACCTGAGACAAGATGACATGTAGGTTGTGAGTCTCACTGCAAATAGGTCTAGGATGGCCACACCCTTCTGCATGCAAAAGGAGATTTGGGATCTCATCTGTTTTCTTGTAGGTATTATAAGGGATTCAATTTTGTCCAAACTCTTAAACATAAAACATGAAAGTATCCACAATTGGGAATAGCTTATAATCATAATTTTATGTTTAGTAATATGTTTGTTTCAAGTTAGTTATAAATAAGACCCTAATATAAAGGGCAATTTCTTCAGAGGCCCTGTTTTCAGTAACTCAAACACCTGTGACCACTTTTATATGAGTAACTATAGAGGCTGGGTGGGGCCCCTTGTTCCTTGTTCTGTGAGTGTTGCATTTGTGTCCAAGGCTTTCTGTGCTAAGTGTCCATTAAGGCACTGAGGCCCGCAGCAGAGACCCCTCACAAATGACATCAGAGACAAGCACACTTTTTGTGCAGGAGATGAAAAACAAAGCAGCAGTACGCCTCTCTATGGTGCAGTGCCATCCAATTACTGAACAGATGATGTGAGAGGATCACGGCTGATCCACATTCTAAGATTCTGGCACTAAGATCCCATTGTGTTCAGAGGGAGCAGAGTGGGAAGGGCCACGTCCATAGGTTTCTCAGAGGCAAGGTCACTGTGCCCCTCAATGGAACCCTCTCCATCTCCAGCCTCCCTGAGATGGCTGGTCCCTGTAGCTTGAGGCTCCTGGGCTCCTGCTCTACATGGAAATTCCTCTATATTCAGGATACAATATTTTCAGACATAGTGTTTGAAAATATGTTCTCCACTCTATGCTGGTCTTTTCATTCCCTTAATAGTACCTGGGTGGGACAAAGGATTTTGATTTTGGCTACATTTTTAAAAATATTTCATGTATTTATTTTTTAGACAAAGGAGAAGGGAGGGAGAGAAGGAAAGAAACATTAAGTATTGTAGCCTTTTGTGCACCCCCTAGTGGGTACCTGGCCCATAATGCAGGGATATGCCTTGACTGGGAATCAAACTGCCCACACTTTGGTTTGCAGGCCAGCACTCCATCCACTGAGCCACACCAGTCAGGGCTAATTTTAGCTATATTTAATTCATCAATATCTTACCCCAATGTTTCATCTCCATATTCACTAGACAGCTCACTCTCACTGAGATTATGCCCTGTATTTCCCTGACATTTGTATGAAGAATGCAGTTTCCCTGTGATTGTGGAGAGGAGTAGCGATGCTGATTCACAAACGATGAGAGTCATGTGCAGAGAAGCTCACTGCCCGACAGGTGCTCCACAGACACCAGGGAAACTTCCTTCAGAGTGAGGTCCCACTGGGTGCTCATCTCTTTGATCATAACTAAAAATGCAGGACAGGAATAGCTGGTCACTGTTATCCCACTTTCAGTTGTCTTGCAAGTTGCTATTAAAAAGGATGAACATTTTCTCCAGAAGTCATTTTAAATCTGAAGCATCTCATCGAGCATATCTGCCATTGCCACGTCCTGCATCCATAGTCTCCTCTGCACTGATGCACACATGCAGCTTTGTGGGCAACAAGAGACCAGGCATCCGACAGTGGTCCCATGAGATCCTGGTGGGGCTCAAGTATCCCTCTCAGCTGGGACATCATTGCTGCTGCAGTGGGGTAGTTCCTCACGTTTCTCACAGGTGTGTGCACTACTGGTGGTCATATAAAACAACCTACTGCACTTTGAGTCATGTTACAGCACAGCCTGTGCAGTCACAGTGGTGGCTGATCCATCCAGGTGTGGGGAATGACGCTGTGATGTTCACACAGGATGGGACTGTCCAACTCTGCATTTCTCAGACCCTATTCAGTCCCTGGCTGTGTCAGCCTTGCTGTAAATATAACCCCAATTAAAGCACAGTCCTTCATGAACACCCATTTATTTTGCTTTAATTAATCAAGATGGTCCTTGTACCTGAGCCCCTGCCTCTAAATTATTGGGAGGCCAGTTCCCCTGATTCTTGATGTTGATTTTTTTTTATAATTCTGGCAGTCATATTATTATTGTGAAGTAAATCTTTGTTGTATCTTCTTTTTCAACTACTTATAAAATACACATAGTTATTACATTCTTACATTTTGTGCTTTTCTGTGAATTTTTTAATGAATCCCTCAAATACAAAACTCACTACAATTTTGGGTGGGAAGTAATGCATTGACTTTCTCCATCTCTGATTTCTGGGTCAGTCCTAGTTCACACTGGCCTCCTCCGAGGTCACATGTAGCCTGTTCCTTTGACCTGTGTTGATCCCTCCAGCAATGGCCCTGGGTCTTGTTCATTGTGGGTGTTGACATGTCTCTTCCAACTGGTACAAAGTCCTCAATTTTATCTGAAAATATAAAATGTGTGATGAGCTGGATTTCTGGAAATGCTTGAAAAGGGTTTCAGCGAGAATCTGCATCTTCCTTGGGTCATCAGGGTAAGTCCAGGCTCATGAACCCTCATCGAAGGGTCTCATCCTCACCATCCTCTGTTACCAATGGAAACACAAGCCAGGTCACAGAACCACAGTAGTCGGAGACGCAGAGGACGTGGGGGTGAGGTCAAGCACATCTCATGGATCTGTGCTTCGCTCACCCTGCACCATCCCATTGTCTATAGAGACCCCCAGTGCCAGGCAGGAATGGCCAGTGACTGAGGGTGCCATGGAGTGGAGGACAGTACAGCCCACACCAGGATGAGGCTGACCTTGTTCTCAGTTCCCCACTCAGGAGGGGCCCACTGTCAATGCCACATCCCTGACTGGGGGCTGCACCCTCTCTGTGCTGCTGAAATGAGGCCCTGAGTGTGGAGGGCCAAGCGGGATAATGTGTGCCAAGGGAGCTGGAAGCAGGCCTCGGGTTCAGCACAGCGGCCCTAGCCCACAGAAGACTGCCTGGTAGGTTGTTGTAAGAAAAGAATGACTTGGCTGCTTGCTATATCACTGTACCAAGAAGGAGCAGCAAATGTGCTTAAAAAATAAAATGTATCTAGTCTTGTGATTTGTCTTTCTCATGCTCTGCTTCGAAGCTGGCTCAAGGAATACAGCCTGATTTCACCAATAAACAGTTCCCTCCTCTGCATCCCAGAGAAGGGACTTCACCTGGCCCTGCTTTCACTCTGTCTCTTTATTTCTTAATCCTTGTTGCCTTCCCTCGGGACCTGACTGATCTAGCCATGCTGGTCGCAGCACTGAGGGAGCCAAGACCACGGGGAATGTGAGTTGTGTGAGCAGAAGTGGGAAGAGCTCGTGTCCACTGGGTAACATCTGGGTGACTCTGGATCATACCAACAAAGAGCAAATTCTTCAGTTCAACATGAAGGATTCCTACCCACTTTTATTTGTCTAACCTGTCAGTAACAATGTTTCATTTTATTCTTATTCACAAACAAAAATGTTGTCAGGTAACCTTGCTCTGGACTGCTCAGTGTCCCCTTGCCTGTACAAGATGGGCTAACAGCACAGTCCACCCTCTCAATCCAGTATGAGCTCTGACACAAAGGCTGAAATGTGTAGTTCACTGAACCTTCCTTGCTTAGGGAAACCTGCTTCTCACTCCAGCAGGACCAGGCCCACTGCACCCTGCAGGGAAAGGGAAGGTGAGATGACGTGGGCAGACTTGTGTTATCCTGCCTGCACACTCTTCCATGTCTCCACCCCCAACCCCCAGGACAGTGGGTACCTTGGGTTGGTTATAAAATGAAAATTTTTTTTTAATTTTAACAAACATTTTATTTATTTATTTGTAGAGTACTGGAAAGGGTAAAGAGAAAGAGAGTGAGAGAAACATCAATGTGTGGTTGAGTCTTGTGTACCCTCTCCTCTGGGCCTGGCTGTCAACCCAGTATGCTGTAGCACTGAGCTACACCAGCCACGAAAATTGAAAATATTTTGTTAAGGAGATTACACACACACACACACACACACACACACACACACACACGAGTGAATATGACTAAGGATATATTATGTGTGTATCTATATCTATATCTACATATCCCCTTATCTTAAAATGGGTGTATCGAGGTTATAAAAAATTTCCAACATACTATAAAGTTCTGATATAATTTCATTTGTAATTTTAAGATACTTTAAGATTTTGTTACAGAAAACCACATCTCTTTGTCAATCACATTATAATCAGATCTATATTTAGGTCATTTTAAGTTCCTATTTTTGTCATTTAGAAACAGTCATTGATTTATCCTCATGTATTTGCACATATGTTACATTTTCAGAAAGATCCATGTAAATGATTATGGCACTCTAAAAAGTCAGTATTGCTGAGAAAAAAATTCAGATCACATTTTTGAACAGGATAAAGATTACTAGAACTGTATGGAATAACTGGATTTATAGAAATACTGGCAAATAATCAGCACAAATAAATTTTATTATGGGACAGAATGAACTGAATATGACTGTAGTTTTGTGCTTTTGTTGAAAATATTGATACTTTTTTTTGTTTTTCAGATGTAAGTAAACAATTTTCCTTAAATCATATAAGTAAATTATGCTATAATAAGCAATATAATGACATTTATATTTTCTCTCTTTTTAATCCCTCAGGAATTTGGAAACTCTTAATTCTTCTTCTTCTTCTTCTTCTTCTTCTTATTATTATTATTATTATTATTATTATTATTAGTATTATTATTTCCATGGCAATGTACTCCTTTGAATAGATCCAGAAGGAATCTCATTTATTCATAACAGGACACATAAATACATTTTCCAACTGTGATTTTATTAACTAAAGACTTTCACTGGAATGTAATCTATTGGACATATGCCTAGACTCTGGATGTCAGCAAAATATTTAAGGAATGGATTTTACAGCTGATAAACTTGGAGAAATGGGCTAGTACCCTGC